GACCTGGTTTAGTCCTTGTTTAGACCTAGTTTAGTCCTGGTTTAGACCTGGTTTAGACCTGGTTTAGTCCTGGTTTAGACCTGGTTTAGTCCTTGTTTAGACCTGGTTTAGACCTGGTTTAGTCCTGGTTTAGTCCTGGTCCGTGTGTGTCTGATCCGAGTCTTGTGTCTTTTGGTCAAATGACTTTAGACCCGCCCCCAAAACTTCACTGACCAGTCAGAACGTTCAGAGACCAGCCATACTTTATCACTACTGCAAATACTTTTACTTTTACTGCTACTACTACTACTACTACTACTACTACTACTACTACTACTACTACTACTACTACTACTCCTCCTGCCCTCCCTCCTCCTGTGTCAGATGCCCTCCCGTCCTTCAGAGCAGAGACAGTTTTTTTTTTTTAATGCAAAACTTTATTAAAACATGACTTACAAAAGACAGAAATATAAAAATATAAAAATATAAAAATAAATAACAAATAAATAAATAAATAAATAATAAATAAACAAATAAATAAATAAATAAACAAATAAATTAATAAATATTTCTATAAATAAATATAAAATAAATATTCAGTAAAACTTTGGTTGTGCTCCAGTTTCCAACGAGTCCCGGTCCTGGTCCCAGTTCAGGTCTGGGTCCGGGTCTGGGTCCGGGTCTGGGTCCGGGTCTGGGTCAGGGTCTGGGTCCAGATCTAGAGGTGGCTCCAACTGTAGCAGACGTGATGTTTTCTCAGGGAGGTTCTGAGGGTCCAGAGCAGATCTCTGCGGAGAACGTACCAACCACACACGTCCTGACGAGAGAAACACAACATGAGACGCACAAAAAACACACAACTATACACACAACCAACCACACACACACACACACACACACACACACACACACACACACACACACAGACACACACACACACAACCAACCACACACACACACACACACAGACACACACACACACACACACACACACACACACACACACACACACACACACACACACACACACACACACACACACACACACACACACACACACACACACACACACACACACACACACACACACACACACACACACACACACACACACACACACACACACACACACACACACAAGACACACACACACACACACACACACACACACACACACACACACACACAGACACACACACAGACACACACACACACACACACACACACACACACACACACACAGACACACACACACACACACACACACACACACACACACACACACACACACACACACACACACACACACACACACACACACACACACACACACACACACACACACACACACACACACACACACACACACACACACACACAACACACACACACACACACACACACACAACACACACACACACACACACACACACACACACACACACACACACACACACACACACACACACACACACACACACACACACACACACAGACACACACACACACACACACACACACACACACACACACACACACACACACACACACACACACACACACACACACACACACACAGACACACACACACACACACACAGACACACACACACACACACACACACACACACAGACACACACACACACACACACACACACACACACACACACACACACACACCTGTCTCTGGATCAGAGTTGTGATGTCACTGAAGTATTGATCCAAGATCCCGGACGAGTCTGAGTTCATCTGCAAGAACTGATATAGACCTGAGTTAGTACTAGTACTATAGTACTATAGTAGTAGTAGTAGTACTATAGTAGTAGTAGTACTACAGTAGTAGTAGTAGTACTATAGTAGTAGTAGTACTATAGTAGTAGTAGTAGTAGTAGTACTATAGTAGTAGTAGTACTATAGTAGTAGTAGTAGTACTATAGTAGTAGTAGTACTATAGTAGTAGTAGTACTATAGTAGTAGTACTCACACAGGGGTGGTCCAGGACTTGGTAGAGAAGATTCTGGAAATCGTCCAACTTCCTCTCGTCCCACAAGACTCCGCCCATGCCCAAACTTGGCTCCTGCTCGTCAAACACAAGCCCCACCCCCCGCAGCAACTCGTGGACCAATCGTAGCGCAGGCGAGCACTGAGGACCAATCAGAGGACAGCGTTAGAGCGTCAGATCAGACCCAAGAGGAGCTGAGCTGTGATTGGCTGTGGTTTGCTGAGGCGGGACATACCTGGACGTGATTGGCTGAGATGTTTCGGGGGAGGGTCACATTGGCCGAGTGACACTCGGAGGGAAACGCCGACCCCTACAGGACACAACAGGAAGTACACATGAGTCCGAGCACAGTACAGCGAGTATTACACTACAGTGAGTACTGCACTACAGCAAGTACTGCATTACAAGTACTGCAACGAGTACTGCATTACAACAAGTACTGCAACGAGTACTGCAACAAGTACTGCATTACAAGTACTGCAGTGCTTTAAGTAGGAGTAGTAGTATTTGCAGTAGTAGTAGTATCTGCAGTAGTAGTAGTATTTGTAGTAGTAGTAGTATTTGTAGTAGTAGTAGTAAACGATAGTACCACGTTGCGGAGGAGACTCAGCGTCTCGACGAGCGTCTCTCCTGGGGGGGAGCATCTGTCTTTACGGAGATGAGGCCAAGCGTCGCCGTGGAAACGGGTCAAAACCAGCAGCATCAGCACCGCGACTCCTGCAGGGGGCGCCATCCTCATCTGCAACAAACCACAGATCAGGACCCAGGACTCAGATCTGGTTTAGCCCAAAATGTTAAAACAGGAAAATCCCTCTGTGTAATCCACTTATTTCAACAAAGTAACTGTAATCCAGTTACCACTCACTGAAACAGTAACTTTAACAGAATACAGTTACTCATCATTTGTACTCTGATTACATAACTCCGGTACATGTAATCTGTTACTCCCCAACACTGAATATGGCAGAATTAGAGAATTATCTGACGGACAGAGTGAGCTTTGATTCTTGGACTTTGGACTTTACACATTAAACCAATAATTTTATAATTTTGGGGATTTTCCAGTGAAGTTTTTCGTTTCCGTTCAAACTCAAACGTCGTATTTCTTATTGTCTCCATTTCAATCTGTGTCATTTTTATTTTAGTTACATTTTCAGTTTTCCTATTTCTGAAGATTATAGATTTAGTTTTATTGAGATTCACTGATCATTTGTTGTAATCAAACCATTTATTTTTTCTTTCATTTTTCGAAGTTCATTTTCAGCTTTGTCCAGCAGCTGCTCGAAACTGTGTCCAGAGAAAAAGATCATTGTCAGTAAATCAAACACAGAGCAGATTTTTACCACTGACATAAATCCTGTACGTACATTATAAACACGTGAGGCCCAAAGACTGAGCCCTGTGGGACTCCAGGGCTCAGACCAGTTTTTCACACTTCAAATCTTTCACTTGGAAATATTGAGATTGTTTTTTTGATCTGGTCGTGTTTAGTGACTCTGATATCGATTTTTCCATTTCAGCCCAGAGCAGTTCGTGGGTGTTACTTTTACCGTTGGTCTTGTATCTCTTCGTCATTCTGACCTTCAGATGTTCCTCAGTCCTTCTCTGCTCATCTGAGATTCATCGTTTCTTCATTAATGAAACTTTTCCTCGAGGCGTTTGAGCGAAACACGAAACGAAACTGCCAGTCAGAACAAAACTCCTTCTATCTGAAACCTGACGACCACAAACTCCTCCACAGACCTGAGACTACTCAAACGACAAGAGCCAGACGAGAGACCGGACCCAGACCCAGACCTGAGTCCAGATCCTGAGTCTGGACCCGGACCCTGAGTCTGACCAGAGACTGCCATGATGTGTTTTCACGATTCCCCGCTGGTCTCGGCGCTCGTGGAGCTCGTGGAGCTCGAGGTGTTCGTGGCGTTCGCAGTCATAGATACGGCGCTCTCTGACGCGCTGCGGTCGGACCAGTTTTGACCGTGTTTTTCCAGTTTTATTTGAGTGGAAAACGCCGTTGCCGCGGTGACATCACAGACGTGCGTCATGGACCCGAGCACCAGGCGAAACCCGAGGACCCAGAGCGCAGACGGAAAAGCTTCAGTTCGACTCTGTTTCCACGAGCTTCACGTCTCTGAAACTAAACGACAAACCTCACCCTCGTCTGCGGCTCAGACTTTTGCTCTTTTGTTTTTCATTATTTCACATTTTCATGTTTTTTTTTTTGTTTTTTTTCCAGATTTTTTTATTTTATTTTATTTTTTTATCATTTTCACTTTTTTATGCCAGAAGAATTATTCAAAATAAAAATAATTATGATTTGAAAAATAAAAACAATATTGGGACACTTTTTAAAATGTGACATAAAAATGTGTCTCTGCGACTCTGAAGCAGAAAACGTGAGGCAGGTTCAGGTTCTTCTCCTGTGACCAAAGCCCTAAATCCTAAAAAGCCCTCAGAGATCCTGTTCCTCACAAACATCTGGACAAACATCTGACCAAACATCTGGACAAACATCTGACAAACATCTGACCAAACATCTGACTAAACATCTGACCAAACATCTGGACAAACATCTGACCAACACATCTGGACAAACATCTGGAAAACATCTGAACCAAACATCTGGACAAACATCTGACCAAACATCTGACAAACATCTGGACAAACATTGACAAACATCTGACAACATCTGGACAAACATCTGGACCAAACATCTGACAAAACATCTGACAAACATCTGACCAAACATCTGACCAAACAAACATCTGACCAAACATCTGACCAAACATCTGGACAAACATCTGACCAAACATCTGGACAAACATCTGGACAAACATCTGACCAAACATCTGACTAAACATCTGACCAACATCTGACAAACATCTGGACAAACACAACATCTGGACAAACATCTGGACAAACATCTGACCAAACATCTGGACAAACATCTGACAAACATCTGACAAACATCTGACCAAACATCTGGACAAACATCTGACCAAACATCTGACAAACATCTGACCAAACATCTGGACAAACATCTGGACAAACATCTGACCAAACATCTGGACAAACATCTGACCAAACATCTGACTAAACATCTGACCAAACATCTGGACAAACATCTGACCAAACATCTGACCAAACATCTGGACAAACATCTGACTAAACATCTGGACAAACATCTGACTAAACATCTGGACAAACAGCTGACTAAACATCTGACCAAACATCTGGACAAACATCTGGACAAACAAAAACACTTTTGGACATTTTTTCTAACAAAAAAAAAAAAAAAAAGAGAGAAATTTGGTTTTGCTTCGAGCTCTGATCTGAATTTAAACTCCACTCACCTTCAAATGTCTGGAGTCGTCTGGTCCTGGTTGAGTTCTGGCTTGGTCCTGGTTGAGTTCTGGCGTGGTGCTGGTTGAGTTCTGGCTTGGCTCTGGTTGAGTTCTGGCTTGGTCCTGGTTGAGTTCTGGCGTGGTGCTGGTTGAGTTCTGGCTTGGTCCTGGTTGAGTTCTGGCGTGGTGCTGGTTGAGTTCTGGCTTGGTCCTGGTTGAGTTCTGGCTTGGTTGGTTGAGTTCTGACGTGGCTCTGATTGAGTTCTGGCTTGGTCCTGGTTGAGTTCTGGCTTGGTCCTGGTTGAGTTCTGGCTTGGTCCTGGTCTTTGGGGCAGGTTAAATACTGAGTTGGTGGAAAGTGAAATTCTGAGCCACTTCCTCCTTTTTCACTTTTCAGGTTTGATTTTTTTTTTCTAAATTTCATTTTGTTCCTCGAGTTCAAAGTAAACCAAACCTGAGAAAACCCGAGCGGGTTTCCCCACTCCCCCTCCACTCCCCCCCCCCACTCCCCGACTCCACAAGCTCTCGAGGTCAAGACTCATAAACATAATAAATCATATCACAATGATTAACATAAAAACATAAAATAATCTCAAGTGATTCTACAGACTTCAGTAGAATCGACACTGATTCTGTTACGTGATGTAAAATATCATTTATTGTTTTTCTCTATAATTCTTGTCTTACATTTTTTAAATGTGTAAATTGGTGTAAAATTATAATGATCATCATAATTATGATGCAGTATTGAGATCAATGTCATTTTTATGTTTTTAATTATATTAAAATGAATTTGTGACAATTCTAACTGCTTTTTTGCAGTAAGAAAATGGAATTAATATTTGTTTTATAATTATTCGCCCATAATTCCACACAATAGTTAAGGTATGTATATATATATATATATATACATAATGTTATATTATATTTTATTATATTATTATAATATATAACAGTTTGAGTGAATTATGATTTACAGAGTTTTTAATTTTACATAATATAACAATGATTTTTTAAATGTTTGTCTTCAGTGTGTTTATAGATATTTATATAATTGTACAGTTTATCTGTACAGAATAAGACTGGACACAGTTATACAGAATATATAGAGTTATATAAAGTTATATAAAGTTATATAGAGTTATATATGGTTCTATAGAGTCGGGGTTATATAGAGACTCTGGGATGATGAGGGACTTGCAGCTGTAGGAAAAACAGAATCGCGTCATTCAAGTCGACCTGAGTCATGTGCTTTTTCTCCATTTAAACTGTTTTAACTTAAGATTCACACAAAAAAAAAAAAAGTGTAGCGGTGCATTGTGGGAGTTGCAGTCCGTGAGTTGCTCTCGTTTCCTGTGACTTTTGTTTTGACGAGGTCACTTCCTGTGAGACTGGAAATAGAAACTCAAACAGAAAACGAAACTGATTCATACACGAGAAATGAAGGAGTGAAAGAAGGGATGACGACACGAGCGAAACGCAGAGAGAAGGAGAGAGGAGGGAGGAGGGAGGAGGGAGGAGGGATGACATCACGAGGGCTTCAGTTCAAAACAGATTTATGACATTATCCTCATTTTAAATACACAAACTCCAGCTCAGAGATCTGATCAAAAGTCCAGAACCATCATGTATTTATTTATGCCTTTATATCTGCGGTTATTGTTATTATTATTATTATTATTATTATTATTATTATTATTATTATTATTATTATTATTATTATTATTATTATTATTATTATTATTATTATTATTATTATTATTATTATTTCGTGTGTGGGCGGTCTGTCTCTCGGAGTGTCTCGGGTGTTTCCGGAGCTGTTCGGAGTCTCTCGGAGTGTCTCGGGTGTTTCCGGAGCTGTTCGGAGTCTCTCGGAGTGTCTCGGGTGTTCGGAGCTGTTCGGAGTCTCGGAGTCGGAGTGTTCGGAGTCTCTCGGAGTCTCGGGTTTTCCGGAGCTGTTCGGAGTCTCGGAGTGTCTCGGTGTTTCCGGAGCTGTTCGGAGTCTCTCGGAGTGTCTCGGGTGTTTCCGGAGCTGTTCGGAGTCTCTCGGAGTGTCTCGGGTGTTTTCGAAGCTGTTCGGAGCGGACCGCACTGTTTCGTGTTTCGGACCGGAGCCCGGACCCCGGACCCTCTTTCCGCGCTCGTACACGCGCCTGGCCGCTCGTTCACGGTGAGTGTCGAGAGTTTGAGTTGAGTTTAGTTTAGTTTAGTTTGATTTGGTTTAGTTTGTGTCTGTGGAGAAACTAACGGTTCCTGTTTGAGGCGCTTCCTCCTCCACCTGCTCACGCGCTCACAAACCCTGCTCCTGGTTTAAGTCCTGGTTTAGTCCTGGTTTAGTCTTGGTTTAGTCTTGGTTTAGTCCTGGTTTACTCCTGGTTTAGTCTTGGTTTAGTCTTGGTTTAGTCCTGGTTTAGACCTGGTTTAGTCCTGGTTTAGTCCTGGTTTAGTCCTGGTTTAGTCTTGGTTTAGTCCTGGTTTAGTTCTGGTTCAGTCCTGGTTTGGTCCTGGTTTAGACCTGGTTTGGTCCAGGTTTAGACCTGGTTCAGTCCTGGTTTAGTCCTGGTTCGGTCCTGGTTTAGACCTGGTTTAAACCTGGTTTAGTCCTGGTTCGGTCCTGGTTTAGTCCTGGTTTAGTTCTGGTTCTGGTTCTTTCAGATGGACCTGGAGCAGATCCTCAGGGAGGTTCCTGAGTCTCTCAAAGCTTTGACTGAAAATCACCAAAACCTCCAGAACGTGGCTCAATACTGTTCAGACAACTACACACAGGTAACACAACAACACACAACAACACACAACTACACACAACTACACACAACTACACACAACACAACAACACAACAACTACACACAACTACACAGAACTACACACAAACTACACACAATACACACAACACACAACAACTACACACAACTACACAGAACTACACACAACTACACACAACTACACACAACTACACACAACTACACACAACTACACACAACTACACACAACTACACACAGGTAACACAACAACACACAACAACACACAACTACACACAACAACACACAACTACACACAGGTAACACAACAACACACACAACTACACACAACACACACAGGTAACACAACAACACACAACTATACACACAACACAACAACACACAACTATACACACAATACAACAACACACAGGTAACACAACAGGACCTCTCTCTCTCTGTCCTCAGTCGCTGGGCGGTCCTGAGGCTCTGTCGGTTACGCGTCAGCTCTTGTGTTGTGTGTTGTGTTGTTGTTGTGTTGTGTGTTGTTGTTGTTCTTGTGTGTTGTTGTTGTTGTGTGTGTTAGTGTGTGACCTCTGACCTCTGTCCTCAGTCGCTGGGCGGTCCTGAGGCTCTGTCGGTTACGCGTCAGCTCTTGGCGCAGGCGTTGGCGTCGGTGGCGTTTCAGATCAACTCTGTGTCTGAGTCTCTGCTGCGTCTCCTCGACCTGCAGCACAGTGACCTGAGGCGCCTCGAGTCGTCTGTGAGCCTGCTGAGTCAGGTCAGTGTGACCTCTGACCCTCTCCTCTCTCCTCCTCCTCATCCCTCTCTCATTCTCTCTGGTTCTGTTGTTCTCTGTGGTTCTGTCGTTCTCTCTGTCGTTCTCTGTGGCTCTGTCGTTCTCAGTGTTCTGTTCTGTTCTGTCGTTCTCTGTGGTTCTGTCTGTGTCTCTGTCGTTCTCTGTGGTTCTGTCTGTCGTTCTCAGTCTCTCTGTTGGTTCTGTCGTCTCTGTCGTTCTCTGTGGTTCTGTCGTTCTCTGTGGTCTCTGTGGTTCTCTGTCGTTCTCTGTGTTTCTCTCTCGTGTTCTCTGTGGTTCTGTCGTTCTCTGTTTCTCTGTGGTTCTCTGTCGTTCTGTCGTTCTCTGTGGTTCTGTCGTTCTCAGTCGTTCTCTGTGGTTCTGTCGTTCTCTCTCAGTCGTTCTCTGTGTTCTGTCGTTCTGTCGTTCTCTTGTGTTCTGTTCTCAGTCGTTCTCTGTGGTTCTGTCGTTCTCAGTCGTTCTCTGTGGTTCTGTCGTTCTCTCAGTCGTTCTCTGTGGTTCTGTCGTTCTCTGTCGTTCTCTGTGGTTCTGTCGTTCTCAGTTCGTCTCTCTGTTCTCTGTTCTCTGTGTTCTGTCGTTCTCAGTCGTTCTCTGTGGTTCTGTCGTTCTCAGTCGTTCTCTCTGTGGTTCTGTCGTTCTCTGTCGTCTCTGTGGTCTCTTTCTCTGTGTTCTGTCGTTCTCTCGTTCTCTGTGTTTCTGTCGTTCTCAGTCGTTCTCTGTGGTTCTGTCGTTCTCTGTGGTCTGTCGTTCTCTGTGTTCTCTGTGTTCTCAGTCGTTCTCAGTCGTTCTCTGTGGTTCTGTCGTTCTCAGTTTCTAGTCGTTCTCTGTGTGTTCTGTCGTTCTCTGTCGTTCTCAGTCGTTCTCTGTGTTCTGTCGTTCTCTCAGTCGTTCTCAGTCGTTCTCTGTGGTTCTGTCGTTCTCAGTCGTTCTCTGTGGTTCTGTCGTTCTCAGTCGTTCTCTGTGGTTCTGTCGTTCTCTCAGTCGTTCTCTGTGGTTCTGTCGTTCTCCGTCGTTCTCTGTGGTTCTGTCGTTCTCAGTCGTTCTCTGTGGTTCTGTCGTTCTCTGTGGTTCTGTCGTTCTCTGTGGTTCTGTCGTTCTCAGTCGTTCTCTGTGGTTCTGTCGTTCTCTGTCTGTTCTCAGTCGTTCTCTGTGGTTCTGTCGTTCTCTGTCGGTTTCTGTTCTCTGTGTGTTCTGTCGTTCTTCAGTCGTTCTCTGTGGTTCTGTCGTTCTCAGTCGTGTCTGTTTCTGTTCGTGGTTCTGTCGTTGTCGTCTCTCAGTCTCTGTGGTTCTGTCGTTCTCAGTCGTTCTCTGTGGTTCTGTCGTTCTCAGTCGTTCTCTGTGGTTCTGTCGTTCTCTGTGGTTCTGTTCTCTGTGGTTCTGTCGTTCTCTGTTCTCTGTCGTTCTCAGTCGTTCTCTGTGGTTCTGTCGTTCTCAGTCGTTCTCTGTGGTTCGTTCTCTTGTTCTGTCGTCTCTGTTCTCGTGTCGTTCTCTGTGTTCTGTCGTTCTCTGTCGTTCTCTGTGGTTCTCTGTTTCTCAGTCTTCTCTGTGGTTCTGTCGTTCTCAGTCGTTTCTCTGTGGTTTCTGTGGTTCGTTCTCAGTCGTTCTCTGTGGTTCTGTCTGTTCTCAGTCGTTCTCTGTGGTTCTGTCGTTCTCTGAGTCGTTCTCTGTGGTTCTGTCGTTCTCAGTCGTTCTCTGTGGTTCTGTCGTTCTCAGTCGTTCTCTGTGGTTCTGTCGTTCTCAGTCGTTCTCTGTGGTTCTGTCGTTCTCAGTCGTTCTCTGTGGTTCTGTCGTTCTCAGTCGTTCTCTGTGGTTCTGTCGTTCTCAGTCGGTGGAGATGCATAAGGAGAAAGTTTCTCGCCGTGAGGTCGGCGCGTTCACGTCTCAGAGGCGTGTCCCTCGCGCTCTCAAGCTCCTCCCTCCCGCGGACCCCAAGCCCCGCCCCCCGTACACCCGCCAGCCAATCAGCTTCCAGCTGCTGGACACCGTGGGACACGGAGTCAAGGTGAGTGACAGGACCAAGACCAAGACCAGACCAAGACCAAGACCAAGACCAAGACCAGGACCAAGACCAAGACCAAGACCAGACCAGACCAAGACCAAGACCAGACCAGACCAGGACCAAGACCAAGACCAGACCAAGACCAGGACCAAGACCAGACCAGGACCAAGACCAAGACCAGACCAAGGACCAAGACCAGGACCAGGACCAGGACCAAGACCAGGACCAGGAGACCAGACCAGGAGACCAGGACCAAGACCAGGACCAGACCAGGACCAAGACCAAGACCAAAGACCAAGACCAAGACCAAGGACCACCAGGACCAGACCAACCAGGACCTGACCAGACCAAGACCAGGACCAGGACCTGACCAGACCAGACCAGACCACCAGGACCAAGACCAGGACCAGACCAGGACCAGGACCAGACAGGACCAAGGACCAGACCAGGACCAGGACCAGGACCAGGACCAGGACCAGGACCTGACCAGGACCAAGACCAGGACCAAGACCAGGACCAAGGACCCAGGACCTGACCAGGACCAGGACCAGGACCAGGACCAGGACCAGGACCAGGAGACCAGGACCAGACCAGGACCAGGACCAGACCAGGACCAAGACCAGGACCAGGACCAGGACCAGGACCAAGGACCAGGACCACCAGGACCAGGACCAGGACCAGGACCAGGACCAAGACCAGGACCAGGACCTGACCAGGACCGGACCAGGACCAAGACCAGGACCTGACCAGGACCAAGACCAGGACCGGACCAGGACCAGGACCAGGACCTGGACCAAGGACCAGGACCAGGACCTGACCAGAACCAAGACCAGGACCAGGACCAAGACCAGGACCAGGACCAAGACCAGGACCAAGACCAGGACCAAGACCAGGACCAAGACCAGGACCAGGACCAAGACCAGGACCAGGACCTGACCAGGACCAGGACCAGGACCTGACCAGGACCAGGACCAGGACCAGGACCAGGACCAGACCGGACCAGGACCAGGACCAGGACCTGACCAGGACCAGGACCAAGACCAAGACCAGGTCTTGTTAGGTTGGTGTTTGTTGGTCCAGACTGAGACTCTGTTTCACTCAGAGCCTCAATGTTCCAGTTCATTTAGTCTGAGCAGAAACACAAACGTCTGAACCTCATGAAGCTCCAGGACCACGAAGACCCAGGACCACGAAGACCCAGGACCACGAAGACCCAGGACCACGAAGGACCACGAGACCCAGACCACGAAGACCCAGGACCACGAGACCCAGGACCACGAGACCCAGGACCACGAGACCACGAGACCCAGGACCACGAGACCAGGACCACGAAGACCAGGACCACGAGACCCAGGACCACGAGACCCAGGACCACGAAGACCAGGACAGGACCAGACCACGAGACCCAGGACCACGAGACCCAGGACCACGAGAGACCCAGGACCACGAGACCCAGGACCACGAGACCCAGGACCACGAAGACCCAGGACCACGAGACCAGGACCACGAGACCCAGGACCACGAGACCCAGGACCACGAGACCCAGGACCACGAGACCCAGGACCACGAAGACCCAGGACCACGAAGACCCAGGACCACGAGACCCAGGACCACGAGACCCAGGACCACGAGACCCAGGACCATGAGACCACGAGACCCAGGACCACGAGACCCAGGACCACGAGACCCAGGACCATGAGGACCATGAGGACCATGAGGACCATGAGGACTCAGTCACAGATTCTACACCAGAAAACTTTAAACTTAAACTTCAGATTCACGAACTTTTCCCTGAGAAACGCAGAATTTCCATGAACATGAATAAAATGATTTTGTCACGAGTCGTCCACAAACGTCCAAGTGTCAGAGACTCAAACTTAGTCCAGACCTGGACCTGGACCAGAGGACGAGACCGAGACACGACCTACATCACCATAAGGACCAGGACCTAGGCCAAGACCAGGTCTATACCAGGTCTAAACCAGGTCTATACCAGGTCTAAACCAGGTCTAGACCAGGACTAAACCAGGACTAAACCAGGTCTATACCAGGTCTAAACCAGGTCTAGACCAGGACTAGACCAGGACTAAACCAGGTCTAAACCAGGTCTAGACCAGGACTAGACCAGGACTAGACCAGGACTAAACCAGGACTAAACCAGGTCTAGACCAGGACTAGACCAGGACTAAACCAGGACTAAACCAGGACTAAACCAGGACTAAACCAGAACTAAACCAGGACTAAACCAGGTCTATACCAGGTCTAAACCAGGTCTATACCAGGTCTAAACCAGGTCTAGACCAGGACTAAACCAGGACTAAACCAGGTCTAGACCAGGTCTAGACCAGGACTAGACCAGGACTAGACCAGGACTAAACCAGGTCTAAACCAGGACTAAACCAGGACTAAACCAGGACTAAACCAGGACTAAACCAGAACTAAACCAGGACTAAACCAGGTCTATACCAGGTCTAGACCAGGACTAGACCAGGACTAAACCAGGACTAAACCAGGTCTAAACCAGGACTAAACCAGAACTAAACCAGGACTAAATGTTTCTTCAGTTTCCTCAAACTGAAACAGGAAGTGATGCGACCGCAGACTCAGATACTTCCTGTTCAGAAAAAAACATTTAAAACCATGTTCTCCCTGTGTCTGTGTGAGTCTGCAGTAGCAGTATTAGTAGTATTTGCAGTATTTGCAGTATTAGTAGTATTTGCAGTATTAGTAGTATTTGGAGTATTAGTAGTATTTGCAGTATTAGTAGTTTTTGCAGTATTAGTATTTGTAGTATTTGCAGTATTTGTAGTATTTGTAGTATTTGTAGTATTTGCAGTATTAGTATTTGTAGTATTTGCAGTATTAGTATTTGTAGTATTTGCAGTATTAGTATTTGCAGTATTGTAGTATTTGTAGTATTTGTATTAGTATTTTATTTGTATTTGTAGTATTTGCAGTATTTGTAGTATTTGCAGTATTAGTATTTGTAGTATTTGCAGTATTAGTATTTGCAGTATTTGTAGTATTTGTAGTATTTTCAGTATTAGTATTTGTAGTTTTGTATTTGTATTTGTATTTGTATTTGTATTTGTATTTGTATTTAGTATTTGCAGTATTTGTAGTATTTGTAGTATTGTATTTGCAGTATTAGTATTAGTATTTGCAGTATTAGTATTAGTATTTGTAGTATTTGTAGTATTTGCAGTATTAGTGTCAGTATTTGTAGTATTCAGTATTTGTAGTATTTAGTATTAGTAGTATTTGCAGTATTAGTATTTGTATTTGTAGTATTTTGTAGTATTTGTATTTGTATTTGTAGTATTTGAGTATTTGTATTTTAGTATTTGCAGTATTTAGTATTTGTATTTGCAGTATTTGTAGTATTTGCAGTATTTGTAGTATTTGCAGTATTTGCAGTATTTGTAGTATTTGTGTATTTGCAGTATTAGTATTAGTAGTATTTATTTGCAGTATTAGTATTTGCAGTAGTATTTTGCAGTATTTGTAGTATTTGTAGTTAGTATTTGTATTTGTATTTGCAGTATTAGTATTTGTAGTATTTGTAGTATTTGCAGTATTAGTAAGTAGTATTTGTATTTGTAGTATTTGTATTAGTATTTGTAGTTTTTGCAGTATTAGTATTTGTAGTATTTGAGTATTTGTAGTATTTGTAGTATTAGTATTTGCAGTATTAGTATTTGTAGTATTTGCAGTATTAGTATTTGTAGTATTTGTATTTGCAGTATTTGTAGTATTTGTAGTATTTGCAGTATTTGTAGTATTTGCAGTATTTGTAGTATTTGTAGTATTTGTAGTATTTAGTAGTATTTTGTCAGTATTTGTAGTATTTGTAGTATTTGCAGTATTAGTATTTGTAGTATTTGCAGTATTAGTATTTTAGTATTTGTAGTATTTGCAGTATTAGTATTTGTAGTATTTGCAGTATTTGTAGTATTAGTATTTGCAGTATTTGTAGTATTTGTAGTATTTGCAGTATTAGTATTTGTAGTATTTGTAGTATTTGCAGTATTTGTAGTATTTGTAGTATTTGCAGTATTAGTAGTATTTTGTAGTATTTGCAGTATTAGTATTTGTAGTATTTGTAGTATTTGCAGTATTAGTATTTGTAGTATTTGTAGTATTTGTAGTATTAGTATTTGTAGTATTTGCAGTATTAGTATTTGTAGTATTTGTAGTATTTGCAGTATTAGTATTTGTAGTATTTGCAGTATTAGTATTTGTAGTATTAGTAGTATTTTGTATTTTGCAGTATTTTTGTTTCAGTATTTAGTATTTGTAGTATTTGCAGTATTTGTAGTATTTGCAGTATTAGTATTAGTAGTATTTGCAGTATTAGTATTTGCAGTATTTATTTGTAGTATTTGCAGTATTATGTAGTATTTGTATTAGTATTTGCAGTATTTGTAGTATTTGTATTTGTATTTGCAGTATTTGTAGTATTTGTAGTATTATGTAGTATTTGCACCTGTACCATTATTATCTCTTACTACTATTACATTCTTCTAGATGTATTTATAGTAGTATTTGCAGTTCATTAGATCATTTGTTTATCATGCTTATTGTCTCAAGTATTTTTAGTCATTTTGGTAGTATTATGTTGATGATTGCATAGTATTTGTAGTATGTTCGATTGAGTACAGTGCATATTGTTAGGTGAGGCAGTTGTGTATGAGGTGTTGTCGATGTCTTTGCGGCTGAGACGTATGTAGCCAGAGTATTCGTTATATATTTGTAGTTGTTTGTGTGCTTAGTGGCGTATTGCATGTAGCGGGTTTATTATGCTGAGTGATGTTTGTGGTAAGTAAGTTGGTCAGATGTAGTAATAGTTTGATTCAGCGTCAGGTACTTACGGTACGCATTTGGTATAATTTTGTAGTAATTGTGTAGGTGTTTGGCAGTTGGTGGATGTAGAGTGTATTTCTTGTTAGTAGTTTGTTAGGTATTTGCAGTAATTTAGTATATTGTATAGTATTTTGCAGTATTAGTATTATTTTGTAGTAGATTTTGTAGTAAATTGCCATGTATATATGCTTTCTGTAGATATGCAGTATTTCGTATTGTAGTATTTAGTATTTGCTGCAGATTATTGTAGATATTTGTAGACATTTTGGCAGAGATGTCGGACGTGGGGGATGGGTCATATTTTTTTGTGATGTTTACTTGGGTGTAGATGGGTAGTTGTTTTTAGTATTTCTTGCAGTATAGTTATTTTGGTAGTATTTTTTGTAGTATTGGTGTGCATGTATTAGGTATTTTGGGTAGTATTTGTAGTATTGCAAGTAGGGGTTGATGTGGTATTCGCGATGGATGGGCGGGACTATAGTAATTTATTGTTTGAGTTTGATCTGTGCGTAAGAGGTTAGCTATTGACAGCTGGGTGGCGCAGATAGTGATTTACGAGTTATATTTGCAGTATTTGTATATCTTGGGTACAGTTTTTTGCTAGTATTAGTATTTGTATTATTTGTAGTATTTTAGTATATTTTGCTTTTGCAGTATAGTATTTGTAGTAATTATATGTCTTATAGATAACTCGCAGTAAATTTTAGCTTAGTATTTTGGTAGTATTGTCGGGTGTATTTCAGTATTTACAGTTAGTAATATTGACTAGTAATTAGTATTGGTATGTTAATTTGCAGTATTTTGTGCCAGTAATTATCTGCAGATAAATTATAGTTAGTTATGAGTGAGTTGGTTTTGTATGATACTTAATTATATTTAATGTCAGTATTACTATGTGAGTTTTGTAGGATATTGCAGTAAAATTTAACATGTATACATTGTTATTGTAATTCTAACAGTAATACCTTTGTCCAAATTAATTCTGTAGTATTGTAGTGAGTTTGCAGTCAAATTAAGTAATTTCAAATCTACTGTAGTATTCTTTGTAGTAGTCCTATGCAGTAATTATTCTAGTATTTGTAGAATAACTACAAGACTAATAATTCTGTGGAAAATTACTAGTAAATTTATTTGTAGATTGCAGTATTAGTATTTGAAGTATTCATGGCACATGGTAAATCTTGCCAAACCTAAGTCAAATACTTGCAAATACCTAATACTAACATAAATTTACAATAACTGTATTGAATACTAACAAATATCTTGATGCATAGATCTCTTGCATAATACTACTATTTGTTCTACAAGTATAATCTTGTAGCCGAAGGTATAGTATCTGCATTCTGTATTCAGATAATGATCTTTGTAGTAAGAGTACAAATATGCTAGTATTATGCAACGTATTAGTAAATATATTGTAGATTTGATATATCTTATGCAAAGTGAGTTCAAATATACTAAAGTATTCAATAACCTGAATATAAGCTAATAATCAATGATAAAGTTGCCAAATAACTAATTTGTAGTAATCATAATTTCAAGTACTTAGCTAAAATTACGTAGGAACAAATGTAACTTTTGTAAATCTGGCAGAAAATATTACTTCTAGACATAACTACGATATATATAGTTATACATTATAGAAGTACTAAATTACTTGCGCAAAATATACTAATCTTAATACTGATATCAAATACTTATGCAATAATATCTAATAATCTAGCAGAATACTTACAGAATTATTCGACTTGCAGT